ATCAGCAATTCACGACAGGGAGGCCTCGAGACGTCTGCTTTTCAGACGCAAGGACGGTCCCACCCAGATGCCAATCGGAAGATAAGTGGGAAGGATGGGCGGCAATGTTCTCAATGTGGCAAACAAAATCATACGGCTGACACCTGTTTTGAGATCATTGGGTACCCACCCAATTGGAATCTCCGTAACCGAGAAAGCAAGCAGTCAGGGAACCGAAGTAGTGCAAGAATTTCATTCATGTTCAATTTCCGAGGAGCCCCCAGTGAATCAAGTCAACATGGCAGGTAACACAAATTTTGTGACACCGCACCCGAATGCCCTTGAAAATTCAATTTAAATTTCAAGTTTATGTATTGAATTTCCGATTTCCAAACAATTGTAAGACGACAAATGTTTTACGTAGTGCATGATTGAATATTGTACTGTTCAAACTCGTATATTAGTGTCGGGTTTTACAAATACTTATTCGGGACTTATTAATGAACACAAGAGCCCAACATTTCCTAAATAATGTTACATAACCTTTCAACACAGGTTGAGGAAGGTCGGGCGGTCCAAACATTTTTTTGGGCTCAACCTGCTAAATAGCAAGTATTCAAGAATGACGTCGTAGGCCCACTCGGGGGGTGACCCACACGACTAGTAGTCCAATAATATGAATGACAAATGTCAAAATAAGTGATAGAATGATTAGAGAAGAATACAAATGCCTATTGTCCCATCTTTGACATTATTGAGCTAAATAATGGGAGTAGGATTTTTCCTTCTATAATATTCATCATGTAAATTATTGGGTTGGTGCTACACATATTGGGGATCAATAATATGATGTATGAGATTGACTTGGCCTACATAAATTATAATGAGTACAAAAAGACATCTCATGACAAAGATAAAACAATAGGGTCCATCTTTTCATTTTGGAAGTATTGGTTGGTATTTTGGACCCCAAATGGAATGGGATCAATTGGGAACCATCCCACATGACCTTGGTACCTGCAAGACAAAGAAAAATGGGTGAGACAACCATGTGGGGCGGACATTTTGACTTAAGAGCTACAACATTACACAAAGGAAATAAAAGAGGAGGTCCACACCATGTTTGATTGCAATCAAACATCTTACCCTTCTCTTTTGTGAACCACATGCTCTCTTAGCATGATTGAGGCCTCCTATACACTCCCCCCTACACCCCATTCGAACCCCAAGGAGATAAGAGAGCAAAAAGCATCCACACAACCCAAGAGAGAAGGAAGGAAGAGAGCAGTTCGTAGGTTCGTTCTTCAGTGCGTAGTGCTGATTGTTTGAGCCATAACTTGAGACTAACTCGTCCAATTAAGACGTATAAGATACCAAACGACAGCTCTCAAGACGAGGAATCCGTGAAGATCTGGTTTGCATCGGAGTAGTGGAAGGTTTCCAAATCGTCCGAGCAGAACACAACCTCGCAGGAACGGATTTACTCTCCTAAAGTGAGTGTTAACCCCAAAACTTTACTTTTCATTTTCCAAATGATATGAACGATTGGTGGAACTATTACACACTACTCCAAGTGTATAATATGTCTTCATAGGTTATTTTATTGATGTAAAGGTTAGATACTAACCTAGAGCAAATCTTGGAAAACTAGGAAACGAGTTAGCCGGAAAACACCCATTCTAGGGGCTGTTTTCGTATCAACGATTAGGGGTTGAACTAGCACTTTGAGGAGGCTGTTTAACACTCAATTCAAAGCAAGGAATCAGTTCTCAAACCTTCTTGGCCGAGGCTTTGGTCGTTGGAGCGAGAAGGAAGGTTTTAAAGCTCATTTGAGGTGAGGATTGACATCTAATTGCTTACAACTTGTAGGTTAAGCATGAGATTACCTAAATGCCTAAATCATAATTTTTCATGGATTATGATGATTAAGTATTAATGAAATATTGATATAGTTCCCAAGAATGAAATTGGAAATGATTTGAGGATGTATGAATAATATGAGATTAAATGAGTTATAAATGAACTATTTTGTGAAATAGGGATTTTACTCATGTACGAATTATGTGGATACATAAATGAATATTTATGTATTGAAATTGAATACTTAAGTTGCTGCTACATGCTTATAAATATGTAGAGAATTACAAAATGAGAGTAATTGTAAGATAACAATAATCTTAATAGTATTGAAATACTAGTTAGTGATTATTGGAAGTTGTTGATGGAATTGATCCTAGGGATTGGATTGTATGAAATGCACTTGAATATACCTCAAGTGTATATGATGACTTAGTATGAAACTAAGGTTAAGTGGTGGGAAGTCTTTAAGGATGACCCATGGTAGTTTATTGATATGTCAATTCTAGGCATAGGGTTGCTTAAGAATTGGACCTTCATACATGGTGACGTGATAGAGCCGAGCTCTAGGATGCATGGTAAGGTGGTAGACTTGTAGTCTATGTATTGAATAGCTAGAGCCGAGCTCTAGGGCTTGCGTGGTGATGTGATAGAGCCGAGCTCTAGAACGCAATGTAAGGAAATTCACCCTAGTGACTTGAATTGTATAGTGATGTGGTAGAGCCGAGCTCTAGAATACAATGTCATGTGTTAGGTTTGGACTCTATGAGTTGTCGTGGCTTATAGCCACAGGGAATGGGAATGGTGATTTCTAAATGAACATGGGCCCACGGGCCGACTACTTGACTTTTACATAAAGTAAGTATATTTTCAAACAGGGTAACTTAGGGTTACAAATCATAATGTACTATCACCCTATTTGAGGGTCTTGTGTTTGAAATACTTGTTGTATATCTATTAGATGCCTGCCACACCAGTACTTTATAGCCGTATAGAGTACTGACCCCTTCGGGGGCGTCCCACCACCATTTCAGGTTGAGGCTAGAGCTTGCATCCTGTGCTCGTTGATCGAGTGATTCCTCGGAGAGAAGACTTGGTTCGTGTTTCCTCCGTTCTATGTGAAACATTAATAAATTTACTCATGGATATTTTACTATAGAGCCTGCGTGCTCATGAATAGCCCTGTGTGGCCCTTTTGTTTTAAACAGTTTTCCGCTGCGTTGTGAATTACTTATTATGTTTGTTTATGGATGTTATGTGTGTGAATGATATTCAAGACGCCTTGTATAATATGAATGTGTTGGACTGCGGTTGACTATTCGTATTGTACGGCGGGTTATTGACGTGTTCGGGGAGGTCCGGGGCGTGACAATTTAATTGGTATCAGAGATTTAGTCCATAAACTTCATAATGAAGTCTCAAAATTCTCTTTTCAAAATGATTTTGAAAACCATGAGCATGAGCGTTTTGTACTTGTAGAGCTTTTGGTACTTGAGTTGCAAGGTCTCTAATTGTTAAGATGGTACCCTTAGCAATTGGTATGGCAGCAATTCGAGCCAAATAGTGTCTTAAGTACCGATCTGTCAATTGACATTTGATACGAGTCTAACGACTCTTTCCGAATTTCTTTCAGAAATGGACCGTGGTGGCAAGGTTACTAGAAGAAACCCGACGGGCCGTGCACCAGTGGAGACTGGGCAGGGCAGCCGTAGGACCTCTAGGGCATCTGGAGGAGCGGGCCATGGGGGCCGATCGCAGACCGTGAGCGACGGTCATGTGAGCACCGAGAATGAGAGCTACTGGTCCTATGAGGACTCGACCTATCGACCAGAAACTGAACCGGTTGAGACCCCTTATGAAGGGGATGATGATGATGATGATGTAAGTGATGAGGAGGAAAATGGCTCCTTAGCACGGATTGAAGCACTACTTCAACAGTACCACCATGAGCGTGCGGAGAGGAGGGAACGCCGAAGGCGCCGGGCTGGGAAACCTTCGGGCGGGGCTTCAAGAGGGAGAAGCCATTGCGACTCTAGGGCCCACATTGAACCACATGGGGGTCGGGGTGATGGAGGTCCAATCATAAGGACCTCCAAATACATCAAAGAGGCACGAGACTTGGGGTGCAAACCGTTCGATGGAACGGGTGACATCTCTATTTCGGCGCAATGGATTAAGAGGCTGAATGAGGCAGCCCTGGACATGCAACTCACCCCCGAATACAAACTCAGGGTTGCGGTGAGATTACTTGAAGGGATGGCATCCAAGTGGTGGGATGGGACCAAAGGCAAATATGGCGAGACCGTCACTTGGGAGAATTTCTGACAGGAATTCTTCGCACAATACTACTCGGATTTCGAGGTGAACAAAAAGGTGAGGGAATACACCCTTCTAACCCAGGGGGGTAACATGTCGGTGAAGGAACTTGAGTACAAGTTCAGGGACCTTGCCGACTACATACCGGAGTATGCTTGTGATGAGATGTAACACCGTCCCCAAATATATTTACTTTTATGTAAATAATGTATTGAACCTTATTAAAGGGTTAATGAATTTACGAAGTTGTAAATTTTTATTTCTTTCGCGTGAATAGTAAATTGTACGTGGGACCCACACCGGGAGTGGGAGCTGCCCGACATTCCCGAGACCATATATTTTATTCATCTTGGTCTGGATAATAAATATATATTGGTGGATATTTCATTTGGGCCATGGGAAGGGCCAGAGTTGACCGATCGGTCAAAAGAGACCCAAATTACCGGTACTGGTAATTTAACAGATAACAGCCCGAACTGAATTTCGAAGGCTTATAAATTAAAGTTGGGGAAGGTATATTCATTATGCATGTCATAATGAGTAAGAGCACATAATATATTTTATTTGACTCGATGAAATAAAATATATTTAAAACAGCCCGAAAAATACAACTTTCGGGACAAATTGTACACACCGGGACACAAAGGGATGACCTCCCACATGAGTGGGGGCCACCCCACGTTTTTGTGTGCAAGAGTTTACTAATTGGTGCCATAAGGACACATGATGGATGGATGATAGGATGGGAGGAACATGGTTGAAAGGTAATGGACCCCTTTCCACCCACTCATTGGCTAAAGGAGACAAAAACCACCTCTCCACCCTCTTTCATCTATCATGCTCGACCAACCAAGCAAAAGGAGGAAGGAAAGAGCTTTGCAACCCATCCCCATAGCTGAAAATTCGAGCTCAACCTAAGGGAGTCCAAGGAGGAAGATAAAAGAAGGAAAAAGTTGGGAAAAGTGTGATTAATTAAGGTAATGACCTTATTATAACTTTTCCTTTAATTTTCTTCTACTATATGAAGTATATATCATATTAAGGACCCTTAATATGGTTCCACATGTTATAAGTATGGATTTATGGGTTGGAAAGTGATTCTATGTCCAAGAACGGACTTAGAAGCCAAACGACCGGTTCACCGGAAAATAACCTTTTATAGGTTATTTGTATTGATTAAGGTTTTATGATGTTAAAACCTTGTTAGGCACTTGTAAAGGGTATTTCAAGTGATTTCACAAAGTTGGAAAAGTCGCCGGAATTATCGCCGGAGTTGACCAAAAGTCGCCGGAGTTTCACCGGAGTTCAACCAAGAAGGGTAGAACTTCATAACACTAGTTCAAGGTGAGTGGACGGCTTAATATCTTATAACTTTTGGGTTAATTATAAGATTACCTAAATAAATGTTGTATGTGTTCATAATGATGTTTAAAAGATATTTAAACATGTGATTAGCCAACATGATTAAGTTGTATGAAAAGAATTAATTGTTTATGCATGAAATATGATATGAGGAATTATATAAAATGCATATTAGCTTGAAGGGTAAAAGAAGCACAAATGAGTATTTTTAACTTAATTATATGATGATTAAGTTGATATGTACAAGGCTTGAATTGGCGGTCAACGACAACGTTAACCGATGAATAATGGATTAATTAATATCGGTTGATATTAGTTAATTATACATTCATATAATTGCATGGCTTTGCATGGATTGTGATACATAAGCGTTATGTATTGGATTAGTTATGAGTAACTAAGTATGATATAGACTCTATCTAGGTTGATAGGAGGTTGATCATAGGAAAATATTTTGGTGGAGGACCCTAGTACTAAAAAGTACTTAACACTCAAAACTTGGTGGAGGACCCTAGTACTTAAAACTACTTAACACTCAAAACTTGGTGGAGGACCCTAGTACTTAAAAGTACTTAACACTCAAAACTTGGTGGATGACCCTAGTACTTAAAAGTACTTAACACTCAAAACTTGGTGGAGGACCCTAGTAGTTAAAAGTACTTAACACTCGGATTATGAATTGGTGGAGGACCCTGGGGCTTAAAGTCCTTAACACTCGGATTATAAATTGGTGGAGGACCATGGGGCTTAAAGTCCTTAACACTCGGATAATAAATTGGTGGAGGACCCTAGTACTTAAAAGTACTTAACACTCATAGATTATGATATTGAAATAGGGACAAGGAGGAGTCCTATACACTCATAGGTATATGGGTGGGTTGGGGTTTTTAGTCAAGGATATTGACTATTACTATTTTCCCAAATAAAACGGTGATCTACGGATCGGGTATTTTCCAAGTATATATATATACTAATGAGTATTTCATAACTTGGGGGAGAGGACTATATGTATAAGTATCACCCTATGTTTGGGTCTTATACTTGAAACGCTAGTTATTCTATATTTAGCCTGCTACTCGCTCGGTACTTGTACTGACCCCTTCGGGGGCCCCCACCATTTTCAGGTTGAAGCTAGGGCTTGCTACTTGCACCTTCTCACGGGTGATATCAGATCAGGAAGACGTGGTTCGTGCTTCCTTATTTTCTTTCAAACTACCGAACCCTTGCTCATGGATATTTGTTTTGCTATAAACTATTTTTGGGGCTTGCATGCCCATGTTGTTGGCCGGATGTGGCTCATGACTTACCGTTGAATATTTCCGCTATTCATTGGTTTAAATGTGATGTTGTTATGTATGTTTACTACTGAGTATGGATGGATTGTTTTCTAGGACGCCTTGTGTAATTAAGTGAGGTTGACTCGTGGGTGACGTCACTTGATTATACGGCGGTTGTACACGCGCTTGGATTGCGGTCTGGGGCGTGACAATTAAGTGGTATCAGAGCCATCTCAGTTCTAAACTATATAATCAACCTCTCACAAAAGATTTTTGCAACGGAGTTTTTACCGAAAACCATGAGCATTGTATTTTGACGTTTATAGGACTATTGGTGCTTAAGTCGCAAGGCCTCTAATTGTTAAGACGGTACCCTTAACAATTGGTATGGTAGTGACTTGGACCAATACGTGTCTGTAACGTTCTTCCGTCAATTGACATTTATAGGAGTCTAATGACTCATTCATATTTCTTTCAGAAATGGAGGGCAGACGAATGGGGACCAGGAACAATCCGAGGGGGCAGGCGCCGGTAGCATCCCAAAAGGGAAGCCGGGCTGCATCTCGGGGTTCGAGAGGAGGCCGTGGAGGCCGTGGAAGCCGTGGAGGTCATCAGGCTCAAACTGTGAGTGATGGCCATGTGAGCTCGGTGTATGAAACCAACACCGAAGACTATGACTCAACCTACGTGCCAGAGACGGAGCATGAAGAGACCCCGTATGATGGGGGTGACACATACACCGATGATGATGATGAAGAGAGTGATGCCAAGTTCGCCCAAGCGAGGCGTGGCTCTCGTGGAGGTTCGGGTCAAGGAAGCCGGGGAGCTTCCGTGGCCACCCCAGCGGCGTCACATGATGGGCGTGAAGGAGGTTTTTGTGTGAGAATCTCCAAGTACCTCAAGGAGGCTAGGGCCTTGGGATGTAAGTCCTTTGACGGCACCGGTGACATTACCGTTGCCGCCGATTGGATAAAGAAGGTGAAGGATGCGGCAAAGGACATGCAAATTTCACCGGACGTGAAGTTGACTGTTGCTTCACGGCTGCTTGAGGGGATAGCTTCCACATGGTGGGAGAGTGTAGAAGGGAAATACCATGGGGAGGTCTCATGGTTAAATTTTGAGCAGGAATTCTATGACCAATACTACACTGACTACGAGAAAAATGTCAAGCGTAGGGAGTACACCAACCTCAAACAGAAGGAGGGTGTTTCTGTTAAACAGTTGGAGCAAGATTTTAGAACCTTGGCTAGGTTCTTACCGGAGTACGCGATTAATGAGGACCGCATGTCGGAGCATTTTTGGGATGCCTTACTCTTGGACATCCGTGATCGGGCTACGTACTCGCGCCACATGACCTTTAGCGAGGTGGTGGAGCAGGGCCTTCTTGGGGAGGCCCAATGGAATGAGAGAAAAGAAAGGGACGCCGAGGAGGCGAAAAAGAGAAAATGGCATAGTTCGGGGCCGCCCGAACAAGCACGAAAGAATAACCAAGGTGGGGGTGGTGGTACGTTTAAAACGCCGGCACCACCGGCGAAGAAGAACAAGGATGCTCGGTGGCACGCATCCTCCTCTCAAAATACGGGGCCTCCTAAGTGTGCCAACTGTTCAAAGAATCACTTCGGGAGGTGCAACGCACCCCCGAGGTGTTATCGATGTGGGAACACGGGCCACATGAAGGCCAATTGCCCACAATTGGGGGGAGGAGGAGCTCCGGGATCCGGAGGAGGAACCATGACGGGAAGAAACCGTGCGGGCCCGTCAAACGGCGGTACCAGAAGAGGCGGCGCGTCCACAAGTCATGCCGCGTCCGTAAATCAAGGCGGGACCCAAGCACGGGTGTACACAATGACCGAGGCGGATGCGCGAGCAAACCCGTACTCCGTTGCAGGTAATACACTTATTCCCATGTATTTCTAGGCTTACTTTGATCATATACGTCGTTGGGATTGAGTGCGGGCCACCCCGGGGTCGAACCGGGTGAGTTAGGCCAAATCGGACTGGAAACAGCCACTGCTGGCCAGGCACGCCCGCAGGCACGCCGTGCCTGGCGTCGTGCCTGGAGGGCAGTGGCACCCGAAGAGAAAGAAAAAAAAAAATTGGGCCAGGCACGGCCGCAGGCACGCCGTGCCTGGCATCTTGCCTGGCCGGCAGTGGCCAGCAGGGTGAGTTGTTGCACGCACGGCCGTGCGTGACACCCAGGCACGCCGTGCGTGGACCCCCAACACCCGAAAGTTGATTTTTTCGCCCCGTTCTTCCACGTTTGGACCCCCGTTCGATTCCAAACCTTAGTATTAACTTAATAACCTCCTAAAGATGTGTAAAAACATTATAAAATGTATCTTACATGGTGTGTAAATGTAGGAACATTAAAGATCAATGGTAGGTGTGCGAGGATCCTCATCGATACCGGGGCACAACGCTCATTTGTGAGTGAGGCGTTTGCTGAGGGGCTCGACGTGCCATTGACGCTTATGACACAAACATTGCTAGTCTCCACACCGTTAGGAGACGACGTGGAGAGAAATCATTACTACCCATCATGTGAGGTGGAAGTGACGGATCAACCCTTGACTTGTGATTTCGTACCTCTGAGCATGTTGGAGTTCGATGCAATCCTAGGAATGGATTGGCTTGAGAAGCACCATGCTCGAGTAGATTGCTACACCAAGGTGTTGGAGCTCGAGGATGATTTTGGAAACACGCTATGTTTCGAAGGAGATCGGGGGAAATCTAATGCTTGCATCATATCCGTGATGAGGGCAAGGAAGATGATGAGGAAGGGATGCCACGCATACCTTGCCTACATGGTGGACGATACCAAGAAGGAAGTCGACATCAAAGATGTACGGGTCGTATGCACATACCCGGATGTCTTTCCCAAAGACCTACCGGGGCTTCCACCCGATAGAGAGATAGAGTTTGTAATTGAAGTGGAGCCGGGAACCAAACCCATTTCGATTCCTCCTTATCGAATGGCGCCGGCCGAACTCCAAGAGTTGAAGGTCCAACTATAAGAATTACTGGACAACGGGTTCATCAGACCCAGTCATTCACCGTGGGGAGCACCCGTACTCTTCGTAAAGAAGAAAGATGGTACACTAAGAATGTGTATCGACTACCGACAGTTGAACAAGGTCACCATCAAGAACAGGTATCCTTTACCTAGGATTGATGACTTGTTTGATCAACTTCGAGGGGCCATAGTATTCTCGAAGATTGACTTGAGATCGGGGTATCATCAGTTGAAGATCAAGGAGAGTGACATACCTAAGAGTGCATTTCGCACTAGATATGGTCACTACGAGTTTCTTGTGATGTCATTTGGGTTAACCAATGCACCGGCAGCATTCATGGACTTGATGAACCGTGTGTTTAGTGAATACTTAGATCAATTTTTGATAGTATTCATTGATGACATCTTGATATACTCCAAGAGCGAGGAAGAGCACGAACACCATTTGAGGCTTGTACTTGATCGGCTAAGGGAAAAGCAACTCTTCGCCAAGTTCTCCAAATGCGAATTTTGGCTCAAAGAGATTGGTTTCCTCGGTCATGTCATATCCGGTTCGGGTGTTGCTGTGGATAACGCCAAGATAAAAGCGATCATGGATTGGGAGAGACCCAGGAATGCGAAGGAGATACGTAGTTTCCTTGGCCTAGCGGGATACTATCGTAAATTTGTTGAGAAATTCTCCGTATTGGCGTCTCCATTAACGAAGCTCACAAAGAAAGGGGCCAAGTTCATATGGGACGATAAGTGCGAGAAGGGGTTCCTTGAATTGAAGAAACGACTTACCGAAGCACCAGTCCTGGCCCTACCCATACAGGGTATAGGGTACGACATTTACAGCGATGCCAGCATCCAAGGGCTTGGGTGTGTACTAATGCAAAACGGTAAGGTGATTGCCTATGCTTCTAGGCAATTGAGGAAACACGAGGTGAAATACCCTACTCACGATCTAGAGTTGGGGGCGGTGGTGTTTGCATTGAAGATTTGGAGGCATTATCTCTACGGGGAGACGTGTCACATTTATACTGATCATAAGAGCTTGAAGTATGTATTCACTCAGAAAGAGTTGAATATGAGGCAGAGGAGATGGATGGAGTTGATCAAGGACTATGACTTGATCATCGACTATCATCCCGGAAAGGCCAATGTAGTGGCCGACGCACTGAGCAGAAAGAGTACGTCAGGGACGCTACTCACATGTCTACAGGCATTGAGGGCACACGTGGAGGTATCTACGAGCGGGGCGCTCATTGCTAGATTCGAGGTGAGGCCTACATTGCTGAGTGAGATCAGTAGATGTCAGGCCATTGATGAGGAATGTCAGAAGATCCGCGAACGGATCCTTGAGGGGCCCGTCGAGAATTTTCGGGTACGTGATGACGGTCTTTTATTATTTAAGGATCGTGTGTGCATACCAAAGAATGAGGAGCTCCAGAGGGCTATACTTGAGGAGGCTCATTCTTCAGCATATGCCATGCATCCAGGGGGTACTAAGATGTACCGAAATCTGAAGGAAAGTTACTGGTGGTCAGGCATGAAGAAGGATATCGCGGAGTTTGTGAGTCGATGCCTTACTTGCCAGCAAGTTAAGGCAGAGCATCAGCACCCAGCAGGGCTCTTACAACCGCTCACCATCCCAGAGTGGAAGTGGGAACATGTGACCATGGACTTCGTGGTGGGGCTGCCACGAACAGTGAACAACTACGATGCCGTATGGGTAGTGGTTGATAGGCTCACCAAGAGTGCACACTTTCTGCCTATCAACATTACTTACCCTCTTGAAAGATTGGCCAAGCTATACACGGAGGAGATTGTGAGATTACATGGAGTCCCAATATCCATTGTCTCGGATAGGGATCCACGATTCACATCCCGATTTTGGCCAAAGTTTCAAGCATCTCTGGGGACTAAACTGAAGTTTAGCACAGCTTTTCACCCACAGACGGATGGACAGTCCGAGCGAGTGATACAGATTCTGGAAGACATGCTTAGGGCATGTGCTTTGGAGTTCCAAGGAAGTTGGGACAAACATTTGGCCCTAGTGGAGTTTGCCTATAACAACAGTTATCAGGCAAGTATCGGCATGCCTCCATATGAGGCGTTGTATGGGAGGAAGTGCAGAACACCGTTGTGTTGGGACGAGGTTGGCGAGGCCAAACTCGAAGGGATAGAGCTGGTTGAGATCACCAAGGCCAAGGTGAGGATCATTCGGGACAGACTGAAGGCCGCTCAGGACCGACAGAAGAGTTATGCTGATAAACGGCGGAGACCGTTAGAGTTCGAAGTTGGTGATGAGGTCTTCCTAAGGATTTCTCCTTTGAAGGGCATCATTCGATTTGTATCGAGGGGAAAGCTTAACCCCCGATACATCGGCCCATTTGAAATCCTTGAAAGGATAGGGGCCGTGGCCTACCGCCTCAAGTTGACGCCTGAACTTGAGAAGATACATGACGTGTTTCATGTATCAATGCTCAAGAAGTACATACGAGACCCATCTCATATTCTTGAGAAACCACCGGTAGAGATCCGTGAGGACTTGCAATATGCGGTGGAACCAGTGAAGATTGTTGGTCAACAAGTGAAGAAGCTTAGGAATAAGGAGATTCCTATGGTAAAGGTCCTTTGGAGGAGTGATCGAGTCGAAGAAGAAACTTGGGAGCAATACCCATTTCTTTTCGATTAGATACTTGGATTTCGGGGACGAAATCCCAAATAAGGGGGGGTGAACTTGTAACACCGTCCCCAAATATATTTACTTTTATGTAAATAATGTATTGAACCTTATTAAAGGGTTAATGAATTTACGAAGTTGTAAATTTTTATTTCTTTCGCGTGAATAGTAAATTGCACGTGGGACCCACACCGGGAGTGGGAGCTGCCCGACATTCCCGAGACCATATATTTTATTCATCTTGGTCTGGATAATAAATATATATTGGTGGATATTTCATTTGGGCCATGGGAAGGCCCAGAGTTGACCGATCGGTCAAAAGAGGCCCAAATTACCGGTACTGGTAATTTAACAGATAACAGCCCGAACTGAATTTCGGAGGCTTATAAATTAAAGTTGGGGAATGTATATTCATTATACATGTCATAATGAGTAAGAGCACATAATATATTTTATTTGACCCGATGAAATAAAATATATTTAAAACAGCCCGAAAAATACAACTTTCGGGACAAATTGTACACACCGGGACACAAAGGGATGACCTCCCACATGAGTGGGGGCCACCCCACGTTTTTGTGTGCAAGAGTTTACTAATTGGTGCCATAAGGACACATGATGGATGGATGATAGGATGGGAGGAACATGGTTGAAAGGTAATGGACCCCTTTCCACCCACTCATTGGCTAAAGGAGACAAAAACCACCTCTCCACCCTCTTTCATCTATCATGCTCGACCAACCAAGCAAAAGGAGGAAGGAAAGAGCTTTGCAACCCATCCCCATAGCTGAAAATTCGAGCTCAACCTAAGGGAGTCCAAGGAGGAAGATAAAAGAAGGAAAAAGTTGGGAAAAGTGTGATTAATTAAGGTAATGACCTTATTATAACTTTTCCTTTAATTTTCTTCTACCATATGAAGTATATATCATATTAAGGACCCTTAATATGGTTCCACATGTTATAAGTATGGATTTATGGGTTGGAAAGTGATTCTATGTCCAAGAACGGACTTAGAAGCCAAACGACCGGTTCACCGGAAAATAACCTTTTATAGGTTATTTGTATTGATTAAGGTTTTATGATGTTAAAACCTTGTTAGGAACTTGTAAAGGGTATTTCAAGTGATTTCACAAAGTTGGAAAAGTCGCCGGAATTATCGCCGGAGTTGACCAAAAGTCGCCGGAGTTTCACCGGAGTTCAACCAAGAAGGGTAGAACTTCATAACACTAGTTCAAGGTGAGTGGACGGCTTAATATCTTATAACTTTTGGGTTAATTATAAGATTACCTAAATAAATGTTGTATGTGTTCATAATGATGTTTAAAAGATATTTAAACATGTGATTAGCCAACATGATTAAGTTGTATGAAAAGAATTAATTGTTTATGCATGAAATATGATATGAGGAATTATATAAAATGCATATTAGCTTGAAGGGTAAAAGAAGCACAAATGAGTATTTTTAACTTAATTATATGATGATTAAGTTGATATGTGCAAGGCTTGAATTGGCGGTCAACGACAACGTTAACCGATGAATAATGGATTAATTAATATCGGTTGATATTAGTTAATTATACATTCATATAATTGCATGGCTTTGCATGGATTGTGATACATAAGCGTTATGTATTGGATTAGTTATGAGTAACTAAGTATGATATAGACTCTATCTAGGTTGATAGGAGGTTGATCATAGGAAAATATTTTGGTGGAGGACCCTAGTACTAAAAAGTACTTAACACTCAAAACTTGGTGGAGGACCCTAGTACTTAAAAGTACTTAACACTCAAAACTTGGTGGAGGACCCTAGTACTTAAAAGTACTTAACACTCAAAACTTGGTGGAGGACCCTAGTACTTAAAAGTACTTAACACTCGGATTATAAATTGGTGGAGGACCCTGGGGCTTAAAGTCCTTAACACTCGGATTATAAATTGGTGGAGGACCCTGGGGCTTAAAGTCCTTAACACTCGGATAATAAATTGGTGGAGGACCCTAGTACTTAAAAGTACTTAACACTCATAGATTATGATATTGAAATAGGGACAAGGAGGAGTCCTATACACTCATAGGTATATGGGTGGGTTGGGGTTTTTAGTCAAGGATATTGACTATTACTATTTTCCCAAATAAAACGGTGATCTACGGATCGGGTATTTTCCAAGTATATATATATACTAATGAGTATTTCATAACTTGGGGGAGAGGACTATATGTATAAGTATCACCCTATGTTTGGGTCTTATACTTGAAACGCTAGTTATTCTATATTTAGCCTGCTACTCGCTCGGTACTTGTACTGACCCCTTCGGGGGCCCCCACCATTTTCAGGTTGAAGCTAGGGCTTGCTACTTGCACCTTCTCACGGGTGATATCAGATCAGGAAGACGTGGTTCGTGCTTCCTTATTTTCTTTCAAACTACCGAACACTTGCTCATGGATATTTGTTTTGCTATAAACTATTTTTGGGGCTTGCATGCCCATGTTGTTGGCCGGATGTGGCTCATGACTTACCGTTGAATATTTCCGCTATTCATTGGTTTAAATGTGATGTTGTTATGTATGTTTACTACTGAGTATGGATGGATTGTTTTCTAGGACGCCTTGTGTAATTAAGTGAGGTTGACTCGTGGGTGACGTCACTTGATTATACGGCGGTTGTACACGCGCTTGGATTGCGGTCTGGGGCGTGACATGAGAACCGTATGGTGAACCACTTCTGGGATGCACTAGACCTGGAGATACGCGATAGGGCAACACAATTGCCTAACATGACATTCGCTCAAGTGGTTGACCAAGGGTTGAAAGGAGAGAAACAGTGGAAAGAGAGGAAGAAGAGAGACGCCGAGGAGGCAAAAAAGAGGAAGTGGGAGAGTCATGGCTCTCAAGGTTCCAACAAAAAAGGGAACCATGGAGGAGGATCTTTCCGGGCACCACCACCACCATATAGGGGGAACCAAGGCCCGAGTGGGCAAGGCTCGAGATCACAAGCCTCAGTGGTAACTCGTTGCAACAATTGTAAGAAGAACCACTCCGGTAAGTGTCGCGACCCCCCTAGATGTTTCCAATGCAGGGATGTCGGGCATTTGAAGGCGCATTGCCGACAATTGGGTGGGGCAAGGTCATCGGGACCAAGTAGCGGGGCCACGGGGACGAGAAACCAAGCCCGGGGTTCCCAATCAACTAGGGGGCATGGAGGAGCAAGCGCGAGCAACGCGCCATCGGTGAATCAAGAAAGGACTCAAGCTAGAGTCTATGCGATGACGGAGGCGGATGCTCAAGCTAACTCAGATTCCGTTGTAGGTATTACCTTTTGTATACTTGTGTTTTACCCTTGATTATTCCATAAATTGAGGTTGCTAGTCGTTGGGATCATTGCACGAAGCTTTGGGGTCAAACGGAGCGAAAATCGGGCGAAAGACGGCTGATTTCCGCCAACGCACACCAGGCTGGACCATATGCACGGCCGTGCGTTGGTCCGTGCGTTGGTGGCAGTAGCCATCGGGAAGAAATTGCTACACGCACAGCCATGCGTTGGTCCGTGCGTTGAACTGTGCGTTGGTGGCAGTAGCAACCGGAAAGAAATTGCTACACGCACGGCTGTGCGTGGATGGACGCACGCCGTGCGTACCTCCGTGCGTCCTCCCGTGCGTCCGTGGCAGTAGCTCCGTTTTGAGGTTATAAGACACGGACGCTGTGCGTACCTCCTAGGCACGCCGTGCGTACCTCCTGGGCAGCCCAAAGTTGACTTTTTCGCGCCGTATTGCAACGTTAAGACCTGTTCATGATCCCAAACACGTGTGTGAACATAATAAACCTCTCTAAATGTATAGGAATGGTAGGAAAGGTATCTCACATGACTTATAAATGTAGGAACACTAAAGATTAATGGGAAGCATGCACGAATCCTTATCGATACCGGAGCGCAACGTTCATTCTTAAGTGAGGCGTTCGCCGAGGGCTTAGAGATACAATCAATACCAATGACGCAAACTTTAGTGGTATCAACACCACTAGGGGAAGAAGTTGAAAGAACCAATTACTATCCATCTTGTATGGTGGGAATCGGTGGCCAAACCTTGACGTGTGATTTCGTACCGCTGAGTATGATGGAGTTCGATGCAATCCTAGGGATGGATTGGCTAGAAAAGCATCATGCTAGGGTAGATTGCTACACAAAAGTTTTGGAACTCGAAGGCAATGATGGGGACACCCTACGCTTTGAGGGGGACCGAGGCAAATCAAACAGCTGTATCATATCCGCTGTGAGAGCGAGAAGTATGATGAGAAAGGGATGCCACACATATCTAGCATACGTGGTTGACAAGACTAAGGAGGAAACGAACATCGACGACGTGAGGGTGGTTTGTAAGTATCCGGATGTCTTCCCTAAAGACCTACCGGGGCTTCCACCCGATAGGGAGATTGAATTTGTGATCGAAGTCGAGCCTGGTACCAAACCAATCTCCATACCGCCATACCGTATGGCACCCGCTGAACTTAACGAGTTGAAAACCCAATTGCAAGAGCTTTTGGATAATAGTTTCATTAGACCAAGCCACTCCCCATGGGGAGCACCAGTTCTTTTTGTGAAAAAGAAAGATGGGACACTTTGAATGTGTATTGACTATCGTCAACTGAACAAGGTCACAATCAAGAATAGGTATCCCTTGCCTAGGATTGATGACTTGTTTGATCAACTATGAGGGGCAACCGTGTTTTCAAAGATTGACTTGAGGTCGGGTTACCATCAATTGAAGATTAAGGAAGATGACATACCAAAAAGTGCTTTTCGCACAAGGTATGTGCACTTTGAATTCCTTGTTATTCGTTTGGGTTAACAAACGCCCCAGCAGCATTCATGGACTTTATGAACAGAGTATTTCATAAATACTTGGACCGATTCGTGATTGTATTCATAGATGACATCTGATTTACTCAAAGAGTGAAGAAGAACATGAGGAGCACCTGATATTTGTCCTTGAGACACTACGGGAGAAGCAACTCTATGCCAAATTCTCTAAATGTGAATTTTGGCTAAAAAAAATTGGCTTTCTCGGGCATGTAGTTTCGGGATCGGGAATTGCTGTTGATAGCAAGAAGATAGAAGCCATTACTGAATGGGAGAGGCCAAAGAACGTCAAGGAAATTCGTAGTTTCCTTGGGTTGGCAGGCTACTACAGAAAGTTCGTGGAGAAGTTCTCCGTTTTGGTATCACCATTAACAAAGCTCACTCGTGAAGGAGCTAAGTTTGTGTGGGATGACAAATGTGAGAAAGGGTTCATTGAACTAAAGAAGAGATTGACCGAGGCACCGGTACTTGCATTACCCAAACAGGGTATGGGGTACAACGTCTATAGTGACGCGAGCATCCAAGGGTTTGGATGTGTATTGATGCAGGAGGGGAGGGTAATTGCCTATGCCTCACGACAATTGAAGAAGCATGAGGTGAATTACCCTACCCATGATCTAGAGCTGGGAGCAGTGGTGTTTGCACTGAAGATTTGGAGACATTATCTCTACGGAGAGACATGTCACATATATACTGATCATAAGAGCTTGAAGTACGTGTTTACTCAGAAAGAGTTAAACATGAGACAGAGACGGTGGATGGAGTTGATAAAGGACTACCATCTAGTTATTGAGTACCATCCAGGTAAGGCAAACGTTGTAGCAGATGCCCTCAGTCGGAAGAGTTCGTCTGGGGCATTGTTGACTAGTTTGAGGGCACTGAGGGCCCAATTGGATGTATCTAGCGATGGTGCTTTATTGGCACGATTTGAGGTGAGACCGACCTTACTTGAGGAGATCAAGAAGGGTTAAGAGATTGACACAGAACTTATGAAGGTCCGGGAACGCATGCAAGCGGGACCGGTGGAGGATTTCAGGGAAAGAGATGATGGTCTCTTGTTATTTCGTGACCGAGTGTGTACCGTCAGATGATGAGCTCTGATACGTTTGTAATTTCCGTATGTTTATTTACGTTTTTAGTTAGTTTTGATTGTTTAATATCTCGGAAATTACACACTTTCGGTGTAATAGTTTAGTTTGTTAAATTCTTGTAATTTGTTTAGATTAGGTTTATTCTGAGCTTAAACAGGTCCAAGATCAATCAAATGATCAATGGTGAAGGAAGGTGCAAGAGTACAAGACAAAAGAAGGAAAAATCCTGATTTTGGTCTATACTCGGTCGAGTATACACATATACTCGATCGGGTATCTGGTTGACATTTCAAATCGGATCGGATCCGAAAACAAAGGAACATGCAGGAGAAGATTTTCCCACGTTCGAGTGTCTATACCCGATCGGGTATACTTATATACTCGATCGGGTATAGCTATAAAAACTACCCGAGTATCGATCGAGTATACCTCGAATCTGGTATTTCTACACATACTCGATCGAGTATCTGTATATACTCGATCGAGTACCCGAGCCTGCACCTCAAAAAGCCTATAAATACACCTCCTTTCCTTCACTTAAGAACCAATTCATATACACTCTTAAGCTCAGTTTAGAATAGCATTTCTTTATATTTCTTTTAGCATGTTTAGTCTCCAAATGAGGAGCTAAACTCTTCCATCTTGGTTTTGCTACTTTGAAGCTTAATGAATTTGTAAGTTGTGAGTTATTATCTTTAATCTTCTTCCTTGAATATTAATTTTTCTTTTAAAATACTATTTCTATATCAATGTTGGGGAGTGTTACTAAGATGACAATTAGTTAACATCTTGACATTAGTTATAGTAATAGTTATTTCTTCCTCTACGTTAATATCGGGGAGTGTTACTAAGATGACAATTAGTTAACATCTTGATATTAACTATAGTAAGATTCATCTTCTTTAATATTCTTTCTTGAGTATTAATTAATTCCTATTCATATTTCATATTAATATTTTGAACATCACTTAAAGGATCAACTAGTTTTGTTTCATATATTAATTAATACTAGAATCGGTCGATTAATACGCTTGTTATTAATTCGGTCCTTTCATGGTAGTAAACTTGGATTATTAATGCATGCATCTCATGGTTAATAATCTAAGGGGAATTAATTATATTGATTAAACCAATAAACCGCTTGTGTTGAGGTTATCAATCTCAATCGTTTTCATCTTAAGTTTAGTGCTACTATCAAGATAATATACGGCGCTTGTTCTATATTGACTCGACAGTAAGTTTTATTAATGAACGCTTCTCGTTATTAATAACTACCCTCGATGAGCTGGATATACTCCTCGATTGAGTATTCGAGAGGAAGATAGTTAAAGATATAACCGGGATCGACGAACATTTCATTAAGTGGATAAAAGCAAAGCCAAGTCTTCTTCTCATTAATTAAACCACATAACTCATTCATCTTCGTGTTTAATTTATTAAACCAAATCAAACTAAAACCCCCCATTTTGTTACCAGTTCTATAAAAAGAAAAGTATTCCTTTCCCTGTGGATACGAACCTTACTACGCTATACTACGTATAAGTGTTGTATTGTATTATTTATTTTGAGTGCACCTCACGACAAGT